GAGTATTTGATTTGGACATGTAGACCTTTTAAACTCATGTCAAAGAGTATTTGATTTGGACTTGTAGACCTTTTAAACTCGTGTCAAGGAGTATTTGATTTGGACATGTAGACTTTTTAAACTCGTGTCAAGGAGTATTTGACTTGGACTTGTAGACCTTTTAAACTCGTGTCAATGAGTATTTCATTCAATTTGGACATGTAGACCTTTTAAACTCATGTCAAGGAGTGCTTCGTTTGATTTGGACATGTAGACCTTTTAAACTCGTGTCAAGGAGTATTTCATTTGATTTGGATATGCAGACCTTTTAAACTCGTGTCAATGAGTGATTCATTTGGTTTGACTTGTCATATTGCATAGGATGTTGTTTCTTCAAAAGACTTGCCCCCATCCTCATGATCTTCTTGTTCTTCTTCAACATGTTCTTCTTTGAGCTGATACGACTTTTGGAATGAAGGTTCTTCGACTTCATTTGCAGTTATGCTCAATTCCATATCATGTGCTCGAGTGGCCAACTCTTCAAAACTTTTAGGTTAAATTCCTTGAAGGATATATCGGAGTCCCCATTGCATTCCTTGGATGCACAGTTCAATAGCTGATGTCTCAGGCAATCGATCCTTGCAATTAAGACTCAAATTTCTCCAACGGTTGATGTAGTGGATGACAGGTTCTTTCTTCCATTGGCGGGAATTGGTGAGCTCAATCATGCTGACTGTTCTTCGAGTGCTGTAAAAACGGTTGAGAAATTATTCCTCCAAGTGCTTCCAACTATCAATGGAGTTTGCCCCCAAATCAATGTACGAATCAAACGCGTTGTCTTTGAGCGATCGGACGAATTGCTTGACGAGGTGATCTCCGTACGTCCCGGCATCATTGCAAGTCTCGACGAAGTGTGCCACATGTTGCTTGGGGTTGCCTTTGCCGTCAAATTGTTGAAACTTTGGAGGTATATAGCCCATTGGCATCCTTAGATCATCAATCCTTTGCGTGTATGGCTTGACATAGGTTGATGGAGACTTCGAGCCTCATTCCAACTTGTCTTTGATGGTTCCACTGATCAGCGTCATCACTTGATCTACATAAATCATCATTTCTGGAGAAACTTGAAAATCTTGAGCTGGAGCCTTCTCGTTTTCAACTGGCTGTTGCTTTCTGGATGCCTCGACTTCGTCTTGAGCCTCTATCTGTTCCACAATTTGACTAGCATCGGCTTTGTTCATCTTCTCAATCAACTTGGCAATTTGAGAATCTCGTTGTTGAACATGCTTTGTGAGTCCCTCAATAGCCTTGGTCAAACTTGCAATTTGCTCTTCCATAGTTGTAGCGTTTGTTGTCATGACGGATGCCATCTCTGAGTAGCTTGATGTTGAATGAGGCATGGGCTGTGACATCTCTCGTTTTGAGCCTTCCACATCTGCGCTTGTGTTGACAAGAGGTGGTAAGCCTTTCTGAACGGTTTGGGGCGTCGAGCTAGTCTTGGAGGATGCTTCTTCCATAGTTGTAGCGTTTGTTGTCATGACGGATGCCATCTCTGAGTAGCTTGATGTTGAATGAGGCATGGGCTGTGAAATCTCTCGTTTTGAGCATTCCACGTCTGCGCTTGTGTTGACAAGAGGTGGTAAGCCTTTTTGAACGGTTTGGGGCGTCGAGCTAGTCTTGGAGGATGCTTGCAGCTTCTTAGCCACACTCCTTGTAACTAAGCCCACACTTGATGAATCCGAAGTAGCAGTCTTCATTGCGAACGTAGAGCAGTCACTGCAACACTTTGAGGATCTTCGAGAGAGAGAAGAGATGAGAGGTGGAGATGTCCCACCGGACGTGCCAAAATTTGTAGCAACAAATTCTTATCTGCGATTTAGACAAACAAGAAAAACTTGCACAAAAATAATTTATTGAATTAAAATAAAATATTGCAGGTTACAAACTCTAATTTAATCCTCTGATTCTTCTCTCAAGAACAATATGTGTTTGACTTTGAATTACGGAGTCAGGTCGTTGACTTGATCTTCTCCGGATTTGATTTGGATTTGAATAACGTCTTCCGACGGTCTTGCGACTTGAATCTCGGATCGAACGCTGAACTTTTTGACGAGTTTTGACTTGAAGATCTTGGAGTTCTTCGAGCTTTGACTTGAAGATCTTGGAGTTCTTGATGGATTTGGCCCTTCAATCTTCCTTTGATCTTGATTTGATGAAGAACGCCCTCGATTTGATGAAGAACGCCTTGAATTTGATGAAGAACGACTTGAATATTGTAGAGAGAATTTTCTCCTACGATTTTTCTCCTCCTTGAGTTGTGTTTCGAATTGTGTAGAGAGGGTCCCTATTTATAGTGGTAGAATAAGAGTCCTACATAAAGTCTTCTTGATGATGTGGCGCGATTTGATTGGCTCTCTTTAAATTGATATTTATCTCTTATAACTTGGAAGAGAAGAAATAATCCTATTGGCCAATAATTAATTGATAATTATCTCCATAACTTATTTTGCAAGATAAATTATAATTTAATTTAGACACAATTTAATTGGCTAGTTTAATTAACCAATTAATTAATTTTATGCGTCTACAGTTACTCCGTGAATAACTCAAACAAAACAAAAAACCCAAAAAAATAATAATATTGATGTTGTTGACATTAATATTATTGTGTTTACAGTTATTTTACTGTCAACGACAGTAATATAATTACGTTGACTTGTCAACAAATCAAACGAAATAAAAAAAATAACAAAAAATAAAAAATAATAATATTACGTTAATTTAGTGTTAACGGCAGTACAATTACGTTAATTAACTGTCATTGACAGTATAATTACGTTAATTTATTGTCAGTGACAGCACAATTACGGTCAACCTTTAGCGGCGGACGTAAAAAAAAAAAGAAAAAAGAAAAAAAAGTCAACGACGGAAACCGACGAAAAAATCCGGAAGAAGAAAAAAAAAATCGAAAAGTCAACGCAGCAAAAAAAAATTTCGAAAAAACAAAGTCAAAATTGGATTTTGTGGTCAAAATTGGATTTTCGTGGACAAAATTGATTAAATTGGGGTTACAATTAAGAATTAGGTATAAATGGTTGGGGGTAATATTGTCATATACATGAATGTTTCCTTTATTTATAATAAATATTAAAATGATGAGTTTATTGGTGAAAGAGATATAGCCTTATTAGCCCCTAAACCTAGAATAATAAAGATGCTTAGTTGGGGACTTATGCACAAAAACACCAAATAAATAAATTTACCAATAGGAAAATGTTTACATTTATAAATTAACATGCAAGGCTAATCTACGTTTGTCTGAATTCAATGAAGCTCAAAAAATTGTGTTTGAACTTGATTTGATAAACAATTGAGTCGAGTTTAGACGATCTTCAATTAGGCAGAGAGGTTAATAGCTTATCAATCAAAAATCTGCTTCCTAACATGGTTAATTATATTATAAAACCAAACTCAAACGAGCTTTTGACGATCGAACTTGAATCAAATATAGAGTAGCACGGTTTGATTTTCAGCCTTGAAGTTGAAACTTTATTCTACATATGTATTTATGTAATTAGAAAGTTAATTGAAGAAAAAGTAAATAAAAGGAAACGATAAATAAGGAAAAGGTATATACACAAAAAAAAAAAAAGGGTAATTTACAACTACTTCACTTACGTAAAATTAATTTACGAAAAAACTTATCATTTTTTAGAAATTATTATACCCAGAGCCCTACAATTTGTAAATTTCTTACATCCATAATCCATCCCCTACAAATGGATATTAATGTAAGAAATCTGAAAATTTCAAGAGATAGGTGCAATTATGGAAAAATAAGGGTTTTTTTTATAAATAGACATTATCTCAGGGAAGGGTTGTAATTTACCGTCTAATATTTAATGGCTAAATTGAACTCATAATTCTCCACCCACCATTGAACAACCTAAACTAAGAGTAAACGTTCAATTAATTATCACAAAATATAACACAAAAAATGTACCAACAATCTAAAAATAGAATATCTCCAACAAATGTGATGAGAAAATGGACAGAAAAAAGAAACCAACAGAACAATGTCTCTCTCCCTCCCTTCTGTCTCTCTTCTCTCTCTCCTCCCCTTCTCTCTCTTCTCTCTGTTTCTACCTCCATTACCCGTTGCTCTGCACACAAATAATATTCCGAGGTTAGTTATACGTGCATCGTTTCATTCAATTTTATTTGATTCGACCGTACTGATCATGCAATTGGTTAATTTTTCGCGTTAAATTTGGTTGTTGCTTGCATGAAATAATCTCAATCTGATATCATGCTTGTAGTGGCGAAGCCGTCACGGGGCCAAGGGGGGTCATGGCCCCCCATTAGATTTTTTTTATATCATTTAGCCCCCAAATTTAGAATTTATAATTACTTAAATATATATAAGGGATGTGATAAATGTCGTTCGATATAATAAATTCATTTCATGGAGTATGATATAATAAATTTAAAGTCTCTATGTTATTCGTAATTACAAGCACCTCCAACGTTAGGTTTCTAACGTTCAGTTAGATGTTTGTAATTATCAATACTACAGTGGAATCTTAATGTTTTTATAACATACCTCAGCGGCTGGCTGATTGTAACCCACTCATTAACTTAAAGAGATAAAAAGAATTACTCCCGACCACAACAGTTGAATAACGTAAACTAAAGCGCCCGGTTCACTATACGGTCAAACCTCTAAAAATTAATATAGTCGTGACTAGGGACATTCTATTAATTTATTGAAATATTAAATTATCGAATTTAATATTTTAACACGTTCTCACCGAATTGGAATCGGGGGAATTTATTATTGAAACGAGATTATTAATTTATCGAGGTTCTACTGTACAAGTACTAAAGATCTAAAATCAAAACCATCTAGTCCTATGCTCATATTTTGTTTAAGGTTATTAATTTATTAATTTTTTTAATTATTTAATACCTGAAATTAGTAATTTTACGAACACTCAGAGCTTAGGTAGTTGATGGTATTAGGAAATTTTATTTTTATTATTAATATTAATCTTTTCAATTTTATTTTCCAGATCTTTTTCAATTTTATTTTACGGTATACTGATGTTGCTATGTAATAGAGAAATTTGAACTAATTGTAAATTTTGCAGGAGAAAAAAATAATTAGTTGACAAAGGTGGAGTCTTTTTGCAAATGTCAAAGTTATCTCAATCAAAGGAAACAAAAGCTTCACCGGTATCTCAAAAAAATAAGTAAGATAACTCACCTTAATGTATACAATGTGTTGTTGTGAATGAAATCTAATAGCATATATATTATATTTTCAGGGAATCAAATGGAACTACAGAAATGGATGATCCGAAGAAGACGTTGTCGAGGGTTACTCAATTGATCGAACAATTGCATTCCGACGTGTCTTCACCTCACGAAAAGGAACTCACCACCGCTCGTTTGCTAGGCATTGCTAAAGCAAGAAAGGAAGCGCGTGCGCTCATCGGTTCGCACGGTCAAGCAATGCCGTTGTTCGTGTCCGTCCTTAGAAGCGGTACTATAACGGCGAAAATAAACGTCGCCGCGACGTTGAGCGTCATGTGTAGAGATGAGGATTTGAGGGTGAAAGTGCTTCTCGGCGGATGCATCCCCCCGTTACTTTCGCTCTTGAAGTGCGACGTGGCCGAAGCTAGGAAGGTGGCTGCAGAGGCGTTGTGTGAGGTGTCGTCGGGTGGGCTTTCGGACGATCACGTGGGCATGCAAATATTCGTTACAGAAGGCGTGGTGCAGACCTTGTGGGAGCAGTTGAATCCGAAACGTAAACAGGACAAACTCGTGCAAGGGTTCGTTGCCGGGGCGTTGAGGAATCTTTGCGGCGATAAATACGGCTATTGGCAAACGACACTAGATGCCGGTGGAGTCGACATAATTCTCGGTCTTCTCTATTCCGACAATCATGTTTCTCAATCTAATGCCGCATCTCTACTAGCGCGCCTCGTTTTGGCTTTCGCGGATAGTATACCGAAGGTAATCGATTGCGGGGCGGTGACAACTTTGCTCGGGCTCTTAGGTCCAAAAAACGACGTCTCCGTGAGAGCCAATGCGGCCGAAGCACTAGAAGCTCTTTCTTTAAAATCAACTAAAGCTAAGCAAGCGATTCTCGACGCCCAAGGCATGTCGGTGCTTATCGGATCCGTAGTTGCGCCTTCTAAAGAATGCATACAAGGAGAGTGGGGCCAGGCTCTTCAGCAACACTCAACACGAGCTTTAGCGAATATACGCGGTGGGATGCCTTCTCTAATGCTCTATCTCGGAGAACTTTCGCAGTCGCCGAGGCTAGCTGCTCCGGTTGCTGATATAATCGGAGCACTTGCTTATACGCTAACGGTCTTCAAGCACAGTGGTAACGACGAACCATTTCAATCGACAAAAATTGAAAGCATTTTGATTATGCTCCTAAAACCGAGAGATAATAAGTCGGTGCAAGAACGTCTCCTCGAGGCAATGGGTAGCCTGTACGGCAACCCCCATCTATCGTCCGGAATAAATCAACCGGAAGCTAAAAAAGCTCTTGTCGAGCTGATAATAATGGCAACCGGTGATGCACAAGAGTATTTAATTGCGTCGCATATAAAACTATGCACTCAAGGAGTAAGCATATGGGAGGCCTTGGGAAAAAGAGAAGGAATACAAATAATTATTTCGTCTTTGGGTTTATCGAGCAAACAGCATCAAGAGTATGCCGTTGAGATGCTTGCGATCCTGACGGAACAAACGGACGACAGCAAATGGGCAATCACTGCGGCCGGTGGAATTCCACCGCTCGTTAAACTGATCGAGGTCGGGTCGCGTAAAGCAGGGGAAGACGCGGCTCGTATGTTATGGAACTTGGGTTGTCACAGTGAAGATATTCGAGCTTGCGTGGTTAGTTCTGGAGCTATCCCGGCGCTTGTATGGCTCCTAAACAACGGTGGACCGAACGGGCAAGAAGTCTCTGCTAAGGCACTAGTAAATCTTCTCAAAACTGCTGATCCGACCGCTGTTAATCAATTGTTACCTCTACTCCTCGGAGAATCTCCGAGTTCCAAGACGCACGTCGTCAAAGTTTTGGGCCACGTACTTTCTACGGCATCACATAATGATTTAGTTCATAAGGATTCCGTTGTTAATATAGGTCTGAGGTCACTTGTCAAGGCACTCAATTCATCGAACGAAAAGACCCGACAATATGCCGCATCGGTTCTGGTTGATGTATTCACTTGTAGGCAAGATATATACGATAGTCTGGCGGCAGACAAAGTTATCGATTCTTCTATGAAACTTAGCAAAATTAAAGGCATTGTAAGCAATTCAGCTCGGGCACTGGGAGACGTCCGGTCTTTAATCAAGTTAGCGAAAACGTCGTCCATCGATTCTGCAGAAACAGCAATGGTTGCATTGGCTAATTTACTGTCGGATCCGCAGTTGGCTGCGGAAGCGCTTGCCGAGCACGTCGTTTCAGCTATAACAAGAGTTATGGGAGAAGGATCCACAGAGGGTAAAAAAAGCGCTTTTCGCGCTCTTTATCAATTATTGAAGCATTTTCCATTATGCGATTTATTAATAGGGAGCTCGCAGTACCGATTCGTTGTTCTTGCGGTTGTTGATTTGTTAAACGCAATGGACATGGATAACGACGATGTTGTCGATGCCTTAGAAATTGTCGCGCTCATGTCACAGGCGAAGCAGGGTAATAGCTCGATTTACGCACCATGGGCTGCGCTTTCTGATGTCCCGTCAAGCTTAGACCCTTTGGTGCGTTGCCTTTGCGAGGGACCACACCGTGTGAAAGATAAAGCAATAGAAATTTTGTCTCGACTTTCCGGGGATCAACCGGTTTTGTTAGGTGACTTATTGGTCTCAAACACGAGGTCGATTGGTGCATTAGCTAGTAGAATAATAAAATCTAACAGCCTAGAAGTGAGAGTCGGAGGAACATCGCTTCTCATTTGTGCTTCCAAGGAACACAAAGCTCGATCGATGGATGCGCTCGAGGCATCTGGATACATAGAACCTCTTATCTACGCATTAGTGGACATGATCAAGCAAAATTCCTCTACCCTTTCTCTTGAGATCGAAATTAGAACACCTAGAGGATATAGAGATAGATCGGCTTTTCGAAACGGTGACGATTTCGATGTTCCCGATCCCGCAACCGTCTTGGGAGCTACTGTTGCCTTGTGGTTGCTATCGATAGTTTCTTTTTCCCACTCGAAGAATAAAATCACTGTGATGGAAGCTGGTGGGCTCGAAGCGTTATCTGACAAGATTTCGAGACATGCTAACAATGAACATGTATGGTATATACACTTGCTTCTGTGCTTCTCTTTGTTGATTGTTTTAATTTCATTTTCTCGTTGTTCTTAGTTTTAACGGTACGGATTTTTTTTTTACAGACCGACTTTAAGGATACGGAGGGAATATGGATTAGTAATGTCCTTGCGGCTGTACTTTTTCAGGATGCTAACGTGGTCTCGTCTCCTATGGCAATGCATTTCGTGGACCCACTCGCGGTCCTTTTGAAGTCGGATGAAATGATCGACAGATTTTTCGCTGCTCAGGCAATGGCTAGTCTCGTTAGCCATGGGAACAGCGTGATAAATCTCGCGATAGCGAATTCAGGTGCGATAGATGGGTTACTAACACTAATTGGATACTTGGAATCGAAAATGCCAAACTTGATAGCCTTATCTGAAGAATTTTCTTTGGTTGGGAATCCCGAGCAGGTCGTACTCGATTGTCTATTCCAGATTGATGATGTCAGAGTTGGTTCATTTGCTCGAAAGACTATCCCTTTGCTTGTTGATTTGTTGAAACCGATTCCGGATAGACCTGGAGCCCCGCCTTTTGCGGTTCGTCTTTTGACTCAGATCGCGGATGGAAACAACACTAATAAATTATTGATGGCTGAAGCCGGGGCTCTCGAAGCTCTGACCAAATATCTATCTTTAAGTCCTCAGGATTTAACGGAGGCTACCATATCCGAATTACTGAGAATATTATTTACCAATCCGGAACTTCTTCGGTACAAACAAGTAATCAATTGCATGGATCAACTCGTTGCCGTTCTTCACTTGGGATCAAGGAGCGCGAGACTAAGCGCCGCTAGAGCGTTGAATCAGCTATTCGATGCCGAGAATCTCCGGGATTTGGAATCGTCGACTCAAGCGATCCAGCCTTTAGCCGATATGCTTAATGCTACTCTGGAATGTGAACAAGAGGCTGCTTTAAGTGCGTTACTTAAATTGACTTCGGATAGTGCGTCGAAGGTAGCTATACTTGCCGAAGTCGAAGGGAATCCTCTTCATAGCCTTTGTAAGATCATCTCCTCGGCCGCTTCTTGGGAATTGAAAAGTGATGCCGCGGAGCTTTGTTGTGTGATGTTCGGTAATCCGAGGGTTAGAGAAATGCCGACGGCCTCCGAATGCATCGAGCCTTTGATATTGCTGATGCAGTCTAATCAAGAAACGGCAGTGGAATCTGGTATTTGCGCTTTCGAGAGACTATTGGACGACGATCAACAAGTGGAGATTACATCCGACAATGACTTTGTTGGTATGCTCGTCGGTTTGGTTTCGGGATCAAATTATCGGCTTATCGAAGCGAGCATCAGTGCACTTATTAAGTTGGGGAAAGATAGAACTCCGCGCAAATTGGATATGGTTAACGCCGGAATCATAGATAATTGTCTCGAGATACTGCCGACGGCCCCCAACTCATTGTGTTCCATGATTGCGGAGCTCTTCCGAGTCTTGACGAACAGTAGTGCCATTTCGAAAAGCTCGGCCGCGGCGAAAATTATAGAACCTCTTTTTATGGTACTAATCAAGAAAGATTTCGGTCTGTTGGGACAACATAGCGCCCTGCAAGCGCTCGTTAACATTCTGGAAAAACCTCAAAGTCTTTCGACCTTGAAAATTTCTCCGAGTCAAGTCATCGAACCTCTAATCTCGTTTCTCGAATCCCCGTCACAAGCTATCCAACAGCTTGGCACTGAGTTGTTGTCGCATCTCCTCGCGCAGGAGCATTTCAAGAAAGATATAACGACAAAAAGTGCAGTCACTCCTCTCGTTCAGCTTGCCGGAATCGGTATATTGAGTTTACAACAAACCGCGATAAATGCATTGGAAAAAATTTCCTTGAATTGGCCAAAGGCGGTTTCCGATGCAGGCGGTATTTTCGAGCTTTCCAAAGTCATCATTCAAGACGAGCCCTTGCCCTCCGAGGATTTATGGGAGTCCGCTGCCTCGATTCTTTCGACTCTTCTGCAGTTCAACACCGAATACTATCTCGACGTTCCGGTCGTGGCACTCGTGAGAATGCTGCGCTCGTCTCTCGATAACACCATCAAGGTTGCACTAAATGCTCTCGTCGTTCAAGAAAAGGCCGACGGTTCGATGGCCGAACTGATGGCCGAGGTCGGTGCTATAGATGCTTTGTTGGACTTACTGAGGTCCCACCGGTGCGAAGAAGCCTCAGGTAGACTACTGGAAGCTTTATTTAACAATTCACGAGTACGCGAAATGAAGGCTTCTAAATACGCGATTGCGCCGTTGGCTCACTATTTGTTGGACCCGCAAACAAGATCGCAATCCGGTAGGCTTTTAGCAGCACTCGCTCTCGGCGATCTCTCCCAACACGAAGGGCTTGCTCGAGCTACCGACTCTGTTTATGCGTGCCAGGCGCTAGTCGGCATGCTCGTAGATCAAACTAAGGACGAAATGCAAACGGTTGCTATTTGTGCGCTGCAAAACTTCGTCGTGCGAAGCAGAACCAATCGGAGGGCCGTCGCTGAAGCAGGCGGCGTATCGGTGATTCAAGAACTCGTCCAGTCCCCGAACGCGGAAGTTGCGGCACATGCATCACTGCTTATAAAGTTTTTATTTTCAAACCACACTCTGCAAGAATACGTGTCGAACGAGCTGATCAAGTCGTTGACCGGTAACTTTTAGTTTTGGATATATTCTTACTTTATTTAGTCGATCACTTCTAAATCATCGTTCCTAATCGAGTTACGTCGGTGCAGCTGCTCTGGAGAGCGAGTTGCGGTCGACATCCACCGTGAACGAAGAGGTTTTGCGGACGATACACGTTATTTTCGCCAACTTTCACAAACTCCACATTTCCGAAGCGACAACGCTATGTATTCCTCATCTAGTGACATCGCTAAAATTAGGGACGGAGGCCGCTCAGGATTCGGTACTGACTATCTTGTGCTTGTTGAAACGTTCGTGGTCCTCGATGCCACTCGACGTGTCGAAATCCCAAGCTACGATCGCGGCCGACGCCATACCCACCTTGCAAATGCTAGTGAAAACTTGCCCCCCGAGTTTTCACGAAAGAGTCGAGAGCTTATTGAATTCTTTACCGGGCTGTTTAACGGTCATCGTTAACAGAGCAAACAATTTGAAGCAGGCCATGGGAGGCACCAATGCTTATTGTCGTTTGGTCATAGGCAACGGCCCCGCACGGCATACTAAGGTATTATTAGATTTTTCTTTTTCATGGTTCGGTTTTATCCAATAATCGACCTATCTTTTTTTGTCGACAATCAACATCGGATGGATAATTTCAATCGACACATGTATAGTTGGGTCGATTAGTAGTCACCGAAATTTAAAAAGCCGATCGCTTCGTAACAGGTTGTGAGTCATAACACCTCACCAGAATGGAAACAAGGGTTCACTTGGGCATTCGACGTACCACCGAAAGGCCAAAAGCTACACATTCATTGCAGAAGCAAAAGTACTTTCGGGAAGGTAATTAATTGTCATTAAATAGTTATAATATATATCCAAAAAAAACCGGAGTTTATCGATAATAATTAATCTTGATTTTTTTTTTTTTTAATTTCTTGCAGACTAGTCTTGGGAGGGTGACAATTCAAATAGATAAGGTGATGAGTGAAGGAGTATACAGCGGAGTTTTCAGCCTTTGTCGCGAGACTAATAAAGAAAATAAAGACGGGCCTTCGAGAACGCTTGAAGTCGAGATAACATGGTCCAATCGGACGACGTCGAACGAACAACGTGTGTGAGAGGAGATCCTCCAACACGTACGTACGCGTGCACGTATTAATTTCGATGTTTATTAATTAGGGTGTATATAAATGAAATATGATCCATTTGAATAAATGGTGAAAGCACGGTTTGTGGCGAATGTGAATATGTGTGCTAAGAAAAGTTGAATTTACATGCAAACTTATGCACGTTTAATTAGAGATTATATAATTAAAAGGAGAGTTGATAAAGTTGTTTAAATTAAAGAGCAACTTATTATGTATACAACTTATTGTGTACATATAGGAAAATTGCTCCTCTGTTTTAATGGTAAAATGAGGCTGCAATATTAATTCCATGCTATATGTACCTTGCAACATATCATGGGTTAAATGTAAATGTAAGTATAGAATGAAATGCATGGATTTTTTTTATTTTTATTTTTTTTGGAATTGTTTAATGAGTTAATAGCACAAACCTCTCTGTGTAGTTTTTAATTGCCGAAAAACTCTTTGTGTAGTTTCTAATTGCCGAAATTTATCGTTGGCTTATGTGAAATGACCAAATTAACCTTATAAATGAAATTAAAAAAAGAACAAAAAAGAATTTTAGAGGGTATTTTTGACTTTTCAAGTAAAAAAATACATTTTTACTCTCACAATTTGCGCGTGCACTACACAATAAGTTAGAGGTTTTATGGTTTTGACTATTTCTCACCGGAGTGTTCATGCTAGTTTTTTTAACATACGGGTTTTTTTTAGCAATTACACGGGAGTATTTTTGGGGAAAAAAACCATATTTAAGTGAAAATATCAAAATATATTGCAGGGAAATAAAGTAGATGAATAATAGTGGAGAAATTAATTATCACATTTTTTGTGTTTATTCACTTCATATAATCTAAATTTTGATATTTTTTTTCGTATTTCCACCTCCAAAGTATCTATATTTCTTACCAAAGATTATAAAATATCATAAAGCCCCCATATTGTGTTTTTTAAAGCACACAAGACCTTATTTCGAAATTTATTGTTGATTATCTGAAATGACCAAATTACCCCTTACAACAAGAATATTAAAAAAAGAACAAAAAGGAAAAAAATAAAAAAGTTAGAGGGTTTTTAAGGCTTTGACTATTTTTCACAAGGGTGCTCCTGCTATGTTTTTTAATATACGGGTTTTTGGAGTAAATAGAAATTATACAGGGATAGTTTTGCAAAAACCTATATTTCAAGTAAGAATATCAAAACATATTTCAGATAAATTGATTTATCACGTTATTGTGTTTATTCACTTCATATAATACATATACAGTATAACCTCGATAAATTAATACCCGATAAATTAATAACCTCGCTTAAATAATAAAATTTTCCGGTCCCGACTCGAGGACAACGTGCTAAAATTAATAATTCGCTAAATTTATAAGATAATACACATTCGAAAATTTTAAGAAGCCCCATATAATATATAAATTAATAATGCATAAAAATAATTCTTAAATTACATGATACATCACATATTTTATAGATCTATGAAGGCTTAATGCAATACAATTTAATTGTCGTTTGTTTCTTATTGAAGTTCACATTATCATCAATCTCGTTCCTCACTTTTCTTAACATGGTTAGAACTTTCGGTATAGTTTTCTCATAATTCAACATAAAATCAGTCATTCCATTGTTGCTTTAAGAGCTTCCGTTTGTGAACGGGCTCTATAGTGCATTGAAATAATGATACAATGAATAATATACATGTAAAAAAATTAAAAAAAATACATCTATTGAAAATAATAATAATAATAATTTCATAAATTAATAAGTTATTAATTAATGTATAAATTAATAATTATTAATTTATCGATAAGTTAATATTTCGCTAAATTAATGAAATTTTGATGGTCCCAACTGTATTAATTTATAGAGGTTTAACTGTATATATTACATTTGAATATTGGGATATAATTTTTATTATTATAAATGTACAAGTAAAATATTATGAACATAAGAAGATTATTAAGTTATTATGTGTGCTAAAATAGATTGGGGCCGAATCTAATAATTATATTTCTTTAGTAAAATTATGCACTAATTACTTGAAAGTTGAAAAGGATTAATTAATTTACATTATATATTCACAATTTTATTTACACACATTAATTAGAATCATACTCCATAAATATATCCCACCTCCCAACCACAAGGAATAATAATTAGCTAAATATAATAAATATTATTATCCCATTCCAAACCATGGATATAATTATTAGTATTATCCAGCACATTAAACACGTGATCTAATCCCTCCATTCCAAAATCCCCAAGAAAAAACGGGTCAACGGTCTCCATTGACAAAGACGAGCTTGGACTATTGCTCCTCAACCCACCCGATCCCTGCTCCATCTTTATCCTTTCTATTTCC